CATCGCTGATTTCATCTGCTGCCATGAGCGAGCGGGAGCCATAGTCTTGTGTTTCCCTGTAGAGTTTCAGCTCTAGGTAACATCGGCCGATCTCATGGAACAACCAGGCTTTTTCTAACTCACCACATGCTAGAGGCAACTTCTCCTCCCATCTACGCAAACACAGAACAAAATCAAATGACTATTACAATAGATTTTTCTGTGTACATCAACACCAAAGCCAACATTAATTAAAAGCAAATGCACTTACACTTCTATAGCTTGTTGAAACTTGCCGATCCGTGCGTACACCCGGCCAATGTTGTCCAGAGCCCTGGATTTACTGTCCATCAAGTCGCTATGAAACGAAGCACAGACCAAACACACCGGATGAATTGGTAGTTTATTAGCCAACCAAGAAATTCAGAAAGGTAGCTTTCCTACTCTCATGGTCGCCTACCCTTTCTTGGCCAGCTCCAGATCCTTCTCGTGATGATGTAGAGCCTTGTCCATATTCCCGAGATCCATCAGTGCATTGCCTACATAGAACATAAGAGAAACTTTTAAAATAAAGTTTCATATCTTTGGTTTTTCTGCTATTGATATTATATATTTAAGTATATGACTACCAATGCAGCTGTGCAGGTTCCCAAGCACTTCTCTCTTATTGGGCAGCACCTCCTCAGACCATTCCTTCACCGCCTTCATGAGTTCACGAGCCTTCTTCAGGCCGCTTTCTGTATTGCCTACACTCAAGGCTGTTAATTGAAGAGACAATACTCAAAAATTCCTATAATATACAAAACATTTTCTGAAAATTATGTAGAGTAGTGCTTGCCCATCCAAAAGTCATGTGATGCCAGAGCATTGATAAGACATTATTCTGATTCTGACATGGGGGTTTTCCTTCAATACAAGTCTATGGAATTTTCTAGTCTGTTTTGTTGTCCGCCAACCTGATATCTCGCAGTCACAGCTCACAAAGAAGTAACTTTTAAACCAAACAGCTTTTCTTTTGGTCAGTGTGGTGAATCCGAGTAACCAACTTTTTGACAACCAAAATTTGCAGGACAATGGTAAATATGACCGCAGCTTTAGAAAAGTAATAGCACATCTCTTCTCAAGCCACAAAATCTGATGTGTTGCTCATGTCCATGGCACAAATTACGTACACAGTTATGTGCCAAAGTTTGGCAATTAGATTTAGGGTTTTGTTCAAATGTCCTCAGCAAGCACTATTAAATATTTAAATAATCAGCTGGGTGTGTTATGCTTACACAAACATTGTGGGGTGACCTAGAGAATAATTAGGATCAGGTGAGCACAAGAGACTTCTTTCTTTCAAATATATATATAAAAAAACAAATTCTAACCTCAGAACATTTGAACAGTGCATGTTTTTTTTCCTGCTAGGAGCCTATACTGTGAACTTTGACCCAACCCAAACTCTGCAGAGGTTCACCTGTGTCAATCTCCTCCAGACTGTTGAGGACGTATCGAGTGGGGTCTGAGGGAGGCTTGTGAAGAACCCGGTTCCACTGCTGTTGCATGAGTTTTCTGTCTCGCTGACGAGCGTAGATGGGCTTCTGCTGCTGCCAGAATGCAGTCCGCGTGTCCAGATATGAGATACAGTCTACGATCAGATCTTGTACACGCTCTCCGGTTCTTATCTTACCTTTTATAAGATCTGTATTGGAGCAGATTGTGATACTTTATATAGAACATGCACTTTCACAAATGCAAACTGACATTTAAAAAGATGTATAAAAAAACCTGAAACACACACCCTCATCTTGTAGAAGTTTCTCTAAGTATTCTCTGTCACTGTATAGCTCTCCCAGAAGTTCCTTGGCTCTTTTTTCACTTTTGTCCATCTTCCGGCCATGCTTTTTGGATTCCCTCTTATGAGAATGATTCAAATGCTTGGGACGAACCTTTGGGATTGTATCAAACAAACAAATATGTATTACTAACTACTGAAATGAACATAAACGTAAAGCATTAACAGTGGCAGTGTGAATGATGGGGGCAGGCGGTATAATGCGAGAGAGAGCAAGAGACAGAAAAGATAAAATAGCCAGCTCACCCCATTAGACTTGTGGAAAAAAGACACGTCTCCTTTATTTTCCAGCTTCACAGAGGAAGGACCTTTTGGGTTGGGGTGAGAGATGTGGGTTTTGAAATCTTTGATGAAGTAACTGAGGTCTGTTTGCTTTGCAACCAAAATATGAGCTCCACATTTCTCATCATGTTGTGTCTTAGGACTTACTGCCCACTGAGTTGTCGATTGCCTCTTGAGCTTTCTGGATTCCCAGCCTAAACTCCTGCAGCTCTGGACGCAGCTTATTGCCTCGGTGATAGTAGACCAATGCAAACTCAAAATCGCCGATAGTGTAGAGGGCTTCTGCTTTCTGATACAGACCCTGCAGGATACAGGATGGAGACCGAAGGAGAATAGGTTATCTGTTAGAAGAAGCTTTTCATATAAAGCAGTTTTCAGTAACTAAAGGGACTGGACGTCTAGAGGAACATACAATGGCACCAAACATTGTTCTTTCATAATTCCTACATGACACCACATGCTTTGTGGTAAAAGCCAGCTAACAAATCACAGCTATCACTTGATATACACTCATCTGAATATCTCTTGGTTTAATAACCCAGTAAAAAGATTTTATTTCATGTGATGTGTAATGTAAATTCATGTATATAAATGTATGTTGTGTTCACCAATGCTGCATATATTTGATCAAAATTCCAGTAATAACAGGAACATTGTGAAGTATTATTACAGTTAAAAAAAAAACTGTTTTCCATTTTAATATATTTTAAAATGTATTTTATTCCTGTGATGAAAAAGCTGAATTTTCAGCATCATTACTCCAGTCTTCAGTGTCATCTGATCCTTCAGAAATCATTCTAATATGTTGATTTGCTGCTCAAGAAACATTTCTTTTTATTATCAATGTTGAAACCAGCTGTGCTGCTTAATATTTTTGTGGAAACCATGAGAATTCTGTGATGAATAGAAAGACAACAAAACAACATAATTTATTTACTTTTTATTTTATTTATTTATTTTTTGAAAAAGTCTTTACTATTCCTTTTCACGTTTCCTATCAATTAAAATAGTGTGTGTGTGTATGTATATATATATATATATAGAGAGAGAGAGAGAGAGAGAGAGAGAGAGAGAGATATTAATTCAGGTGTGCTTTTACAGATATGAGTGGATATCATTAATAATTTAGAGGGTTTATAATAGCTCCAAAATGTATTTGGATACTTAAGCCACACTTAAAAATTAATGAATTTCATTGCATTACACGCATTACACAACAAAATACCAAGCTAAGTGTCATCTAAAGGTTACTTTCCCTAGAACTAACCTCACTTTTCTTGGCCAGTTTGCAACTACTTAGGTGATTTTAGTGGATGCTCTCTCATGTTTCACTAGTTTGATGTGCCCTTTTTGTCTTAAAACTTTTAGTTTATTTATTTTGTTTATTAATTCAAAATCAGTTATACATTATTTTAGTAAAATACTGTATTCGAAAGCGTGTTTGTGACAAATGTCACATGGTTTAATATTTAGTTACCTAATGCAATAATATTTATCAGTTTTTAGGTGTGCTACAAGTGTCCACATACTGTTGGGGCAAATTAGTGCTCTACTTTTGCCAGAATCATCATCTGATTAGGTTTCAGATTATGTAAGTACGCCCCCTTCAGGACAAGTGTCTTATTACACACAAACATACAGACTCTAAACTGTACCTGCTCGGGTGGGACCTTCTGGACCAAACGAGGAGATCAAACACAAATTAGCAGCAGATGAACACACCTTGAAGAAGTCTTTGTTGTCTTGAAGTGAGGTCTCAGCATCTTTCAGCGCGCTCTCTGCGTCCCCTAGTTTCAAATAACACCTGGATCTGGCGACCAGACAGTTCTTATCATCCGGCTGTAAATTTAAAGCCTGGCGAACAACAGAGAAGACTCTTATAAAGTGTGAAACAAAGAACTCGGTTTAATTTCATCTTCATGTTAGAAATGTAAAATGTATTTCGCAAAACCCCCAGTTATATTTATTAGCTTACCGTGGAAAAGCTCTCAACAGCTTTGACGTACTCTCCCTTCTGAAACAGCTGGTCGCCTTCAGCTACATAGGTGCTAAAGGTACTCTTCGGCCCTTGACCTTCCTCGTTATCGAACATTTTATTCGTATTCATACAAAATTATATCAAAACCTTTCAGTCCGTACATCAATAAAAGAAGACCGGGACAGTGTCGTCCGCTGTAATGTTATGTATCTTAGCAACGCGACTAACAAAACCCGGAGCGGCCAATGAACTGTGAGAGGACCTTTGATTGTTCCATCTTAAATGCTAGGCGTAACATACATATTTTTAATTTCCAAAATATAAAATATATTCTAAAATAATCATATTTTCTGCAGCAAACGGTTCTTAACTTTTTATCAATAGAGCAAGAGTGCGAGCATGCCTGGTGATGCAAACTAATCTAAAAAAAGTATGTATTTGAAGAGACAGAAAGATAAGTATTTGGTGAAGGGGAAAACAGAAAGAGGCTTCCTTTATTTACATGGCTTTTTAAAAACGGTCCACAGTCAAGACTGTTTCAGCGGAGTGAGCAAAGTCAGCATGGACATTGTCTTTTGAATACACTGAAGATCTTTCAAGATGAGCAACATGAACAGATTCCAGACAAATGCTTAAAACGCACATTTCCTAACTGTGTACACGGTCAAGTCAAAGACAGCAAGAGAATGCTGGAGCACAACGAATCTTCAGCGATCACCAAACATGGCTCACTGATCATGCCTGCAATTTACATAGATCCATATTACACACACTGTGGAGTCAATGATATCAAGTCAACAAATCAATCAGCTCTTCTGACAACACTCCCTCCGGAGGCTCTTTAATTCAGAAGTTAATAAGCGTGCTGGCCAACATAGTCTCTTCCCTGGGTTTAACTTGTAAGAGTGTAGATCCTAGTGTATTGAAAGATCATCCATCCAAAGCTCACATCCAATGAACTTACAATAAATATACATATCAAAAAAAGTGAGTGTATTTCGTAGTTTAAAAAAAAATTAAACAGTCATGAACTATCAACACAAAGAAACACTTTACATTCCATTAAAATGTACAATGCAGCAAGGGGTTGAATGGCAACATTAACAAATGAATCTTACAGAAAGGGAACATGGACAACAGGTGCTTGAACTCTCTCTCTCTCTCTCTCTGAACCTTTGTATGCAGTAGTCGAACAATCCACTTGCGTGCCGAAATCCAGAAACAGCATTATTCTTAAAGTGAGATTTGGCATGAGGCGCTGCATTCACATAATAGTTTGCGGAGGTCTTTAAAATGGTTCGCAATGTTGCATAAATATAATATCTGTGTGAATTCTGATTCTGTACATGCTTAATCTATACGGCAATAGCAGTAATGAATTTCTGTACTAACCCGAAATCTGTACTAATTTGGATGATGTGGACCATTTTACGATCAGTAATAAGAGGGGCTGTCTATGGGCTGATAGGAAATTAGAGTATTTAAAGTATTAAGTACTCCTATTCAGTGTCAGAGATAAACATCAGATTTGCATGTAGCACTTATGTTCCCCCAAACATCAACTCAATTTGTAGCTGAAGCTTTTGAAAATGTAAAAAAAAAAAAAAAAAAAGTAAAAAGTAAAAATGATGATGCATTCAGGGTACAATCGATAAAGTGGATTAAAAAAAAACCAACAAAAAAAACATTGCAGAACAATAAAACTAAAGCTGGAATAACAAGGGCCAAAAAGGACACCGATCAGAAAGAGACATGTGCAATGTATCATGTTGTTTTTCTGGTACAGAATGGTCATGGTCATGCCCCTGCCGTTGTTGTCTTTGTGCATATGCAGTAAAACAAGTCAATGGCACAGACGCAGGTCCAACTGTGGGGTCCGAAAGCCCGTTACACCAGAGTGTAGTACATCAGAGAGCAGGGATGGAGGAGAGTAGTCCGGTTCAGGGGAATTCAGAGGTTATGAAACTACTGCATACATGCTGGAAGTTGCCAAGCTAGCCAAACTGGAAGAAGAAATTTCCAGGTCCAATGGTCAAATTGCACTGTAAACATCAATGACAGCAGTTGTTTCATACTCACCTAGCTGTGGACTGTCCATTACTTACTGTATATGATGCATGCAGTATATTCCATCTTCTGAAATCATTTGATAGATTTTTGTGAGGAAAAATCCAAAATGAAGTTGTTTTTCACTGAAAATCTTCCCTTTCACTGGAAAACTCAAATATGATTCTTGCCTGTGTGCATTAAAATGTTATTGACTTCAAACATCATTGGTTCTTGTCAAATTGCTATCAATTTTTTGGAATAGTACAAAAAAAAAAATTAAACAAAAAAAAAAAACAGAAGACAGGAACAAATTCAGTGACACTGAAAATACAAAAATTAGAACTGAAGAGAATATTATGAACCACAAATGAGCTACATCACAACAGCTATAAGACTATAATTTTATGACATACAATTAAAAGTTTGGGTTCAATAAGATCATTTTGAAAGAAATTAATGCTTTTATTCAACAAGGCTGTATTAACTCAGTGGTTCCCAACCCTGGTCCTGGAGGCACCCCAACACTGCACATTTTGCATGTCTCCTTTCTCTGACGCACCAATTTCAGGTCTTGAAGTCTCTACTAATGAGCTGATGACTTGAATCAGGTGTGTTTGATTAAGGAGACATGCAAAACGTGCAGTGTTGGGGTGCCTCCAGGACCAGGGTTGGGAACCACTGTATTAACTGATCAAAAGTGACAGTAAGGACATTTATAATGTTACAAAAGATTTCTATTTTAAATAAATGCTGTTCTTTTAAACTTTGTTCAAAGAATCGTGAATGAAAGTATCACTGTTTCCATAAAAATATTAAGCAGTGCAACTTTTCAACATTACAATTTTTTCTTGAGCAGCAAATCAGCATATTAGAATGATTTCTGAAGGATCATGTGACACTGAAGACGGGAGTAATGAAGCTGAAAATTCAGCTTTGCATCACAGGAATAAACTACATTTTAACATTCAAAATAAAAAAAACAGTTATTTTAAATTGTAATAATATTTCACAATATTACTGTTTTTACTGTATTTCTGATCAAATAACTGCTTCCTTGGTGAACCAACCCCAAACTTTACAACAGTACTGTTCATTCAATGGTTTATTGTACAGTCTGAACATGGGATTAACAAATGATTATGAGAAGTAAATAAAGGTCTGCCTTACATGAATTAGCTTCGAAACTAAACCCACCAGGGCCACCAAAGAAAGCTTTGAAGATGTTATTGGCATCGAAGTCTGAAAAAGCAAATAAAAAGAAACAAAATCATTAGCAATCCTCCGTAAATCGAATAAAATTTATTTTATTGTACTAATAAACGAAGCACAAAACATTCAGATTAATGAAACCCATATTCCATAATAAAATGGTGTTGACAGAAAGAGAACTAAAAAGATCCTGAATGTGTGAAGACGACAGACCCATATTCATGTCGTCATCCTCCAAGTCATGGCCGCTGTCATAGCGGGACTTCTTCTTGGGGTCAGAAAGCACTGTGAAGGCCTCGCCCACCTCCTTAAACTTCTTCTCTTCCTCTTTCTGCACTTCAGCACTCGCTCCGCTGTGTCGGTCTGAGAAAACATAAGAGAGACTGTGTTAGAGAATCAGAAAAAAAAATTTGAGGACTTTCTTACATGCTGGTGATCCCAGTACTGTCTACAGAAGAGGAATTCACAAATGTAGACTGTGTACAGAGAAAATGTTGTGATTCTTTCAAAGAAATGCATACCTGGGTGGTGCATCAGGGCTCGTTTACGGTAGGCCTTCTTGATTTCATCTTCAGTGGCGTTTTTATCCACACCAAGGACCTTGTAATAATCTTTCCTCTTACTTTTCTTCAGCTCTAACTGAGCATTCTTCAACAGGTTCTTATGCTCTGAAACACCACAGATTAAATGAGATTTGGATCTTTAAGGGAAATTAAAGAGTTTAATGCACATTCAAGATGAACGCACACCTTTAGTCTTCTCTGTTTGATAAACCTTCTCATAGTCTCTGACAGCCTCTTCATACTGCTCTGTGTCCATGTAACTACAGTGTAAAATGCACAGGTTAAACAACAAATAAAGTTTAAATTATTTTTAAAGTGTGTAGAAACACAAACGTACCATTGGGCTCTTCTCAAATAAGCTTTAATATAGGTCTCATCCAGTTTAATAGCCTTTGTGCAGTCCTCAATGGCCTGCTCCAGTTTGTTTAACTGAAGACACATTGAAGAGAGAGAAACATCATGTGTTAGTGCCAAACAATGACCAAAATGAGACAGACACACGTGACCCAGCTTCAGAGCGGGCAAAGGGTCTACTGTTTGTCCTTGTGGGGCACTCCAATACTGATAATGCATTGAAACAAAATGTCTACAAAAGTACAACGCCAAAACAAGGAGTATATCAAAGGCGGACCTTGGATCCGACGGTGGCTCGGTTACAGTACAGCTTGGCGTTGGTTTTGATGTTGTTTGGGTCGATGGTCAGGGCCTCCGAGTAGAGGTCATATGCTTCTTCAAAGCTGCCCTCTTTAAATGCTTTGTTCCCTTCCTCTTTCTTCGCCTTTAGGGCTTTAGCATTCTATAACAGAGAAACAATTAGATATTTCACAGAGACTGTACTAAAACAATTGAAAAGAATCATTCAATTTGCTGAAAATGTACTTATCCTCAGGCCATCCAAGATGGAGGTGAGTTTATTTCTTCACCGGAACAGATTTGAAGAAATTTAGCATTGCAGCATTTGCTCGGCAATGGATCCTCTGCAGTGAATGGGTGCCATCAGAATGAGAGTTCAAACAGCTGATAAAAACATCACAATAGTCTACAAGTAATGCACACGATTCGAGTCAATCAATTAATAGCTTGCGAAACACAAATCTGCATGTTTGTAATTGATCATTAAAACGTTATTAACTTCAAACTGTTGCTTCAGGCTAAAATACGAGTCTGTCATCCATAAAATTGCTTTCTCCAGTGATAGTGTCATCTGAATCAGAAGTGAAATATGCACAGATCAAACACCATTTACAAGTAAAAACGGTCCAACACAGTTCTGAAGTAATATGTCGATGGATGTTGATGTGAGAGGACAACAGGGGATGGACTTTTTCACTGGAGGAAGCATTATCATGGATTATGGACTTATATTTTGGCCAGAAGCAATGGTTTTAAAGTTGAAATGTATTAATGATGGATTTGTTTCTTACAAACACAGCATGTCGCTTCACTGATAAACAGAAATAGCGTGGATTATTGTGATTTTTTTTGAGCTCTCATTCTGACGGCACCCATTCACTGCAGAGGATTCACTGGTGAGCAAGTGATGTAAAGCTAAATTTCTCCAAATCTGTAACAATAAAGACAAACTGTTCTACATCTTGTATGGCCCGAGGGCGAGAAAAATTTCTGCAAATTTTCAATTTTGGGTCAAATATACCTTTAATCTGAATACTTATAATGCAATCAATTACACTTACTCTGCAGGCCAGACGGGCCTTCTCATGGTCTGGTGCCATGCGCAGCGCTTGAACGAAAAACTGCACAGCCTTATCAATGCAGTCCTCGTAGTACAGACATAATCCCCGCACATACAGGGCATCGCCGTTGGTGGAATCCATCCGCAATATGTCACTGAAGATGCAAAAAGCAAGAGTGAGATAGAAAGTATACATTAGTGGTTAACTGATATGGATTTTTCAATGGACGATGAAAACAGATATAATGTCAATAATATATAGAAAATGTGCAGCCTGAAATTTTAGACTTCTGTTTGGCTGAGCAAGCAGCTTGGACAATGCATCAGTATAATAATAAACATTAAGAGACATTTTCCACACATACATTACCAATAAAAAGTTTGGGGTCAAGATTTTTTTCATGTCTCTTATAGGGGTGTAACGGTACACGTATTTCGGTTCGGTACGCATGTGTACCGAAAGTATACATTAGTGGTTAACTGATATGGATTTTTCAATGGACGATGAAAACAGATATAATGTCAATAATATATAGAAAATGTGCAGCCTGAAATTTTAGACTTCTGTTTGGCTGAGCAAGCAGCTTGGACAATGCATCAGTATAATAATAAACATTAAGAGACATTTTCCACACATACATTACCAATAAAAAGTTTGGGGTCAAGATTTTTTTCATGTCTCTTATAGGGGTGTAACGGTACACGTATTTTGGTTCGGTACGCATGTGTACCGAACAAAAACAGCATTGTTTTAAGCACTGCACGAGTGGAATTCATTGGAAACTTCCAGTTTTATATACTGTTACTTTTGATTAGAAACAAAGTCTCATCTTTCAAATTATGTCCATTTTTTCAGGAAATTCAAACAATAAATGTCGTTTTGACGCTCTTTGATGTGGTGACAGATCGCTGTATAAACGCCTCAGCTCAAACGGCAGTGCGGAGCGCGATCATCCCTTCCTCTTCACTACTAGTTTTAATGCAAAATAAGCATGAATGAACATCTCATGCCTCATGTAATCGCTCAATCAGTGTTTCAACTGCAGAAACACGTCAATAAAACAGGTTGTAAACAAAATGCCACGTAGCATTTCATTTACCTCAGGAAGTCATCAGTGTACACAGGCCATTATTCGCTAGAAAAGTGGGTGGAGGGATTGAATTGCTTTACACACTGAGGAAGGCTTTGAGCCGAAACGTTTGTGTCTTTTCCCATCAGTAATGAATGTAAAATAAAAGAAAAAAGAAGATTGTTCTCGTGAGTGCGGATCATAATTTCCTATACACAGCTCTACCGTTACACCCCTAGTCTCTTATGCTCACCAAGGCTGCATTTGTATGGATGAAAATACAATAAAAAGTAATATTGTGAAATATTATAACGATGTAAACGAATTTATCGATTTTAATGTGTTTTAAAATGTCATTTTTATCAAACAGGAATTGTGTGCGCTCAAAAAGAACAATGAGTTCTCAGGTGCGTAGAGCAAAAGGTAGAAAGTTTTAGTCCAACAAGTCACTGAATTTGTCCGCACACTGAAATTTTTCCAATCAGACCAAAAAAGGTCTAAAAAAAAAAAAAAAAATAGTTTTTATTATCCATATGCAAAAGTGAAAAAAGTGACAAAAGTGCAGTGTATTAAAAACAGACCAAAGAGCAGACGTTTGAGCCCATGCTTTCTTCAGTGCTCATGATGATATGGATAATAAAAACTACATTTTTGAGAGACCTATTTTGGTCTGATTGGAAAAAATTTTCAGTGTGCGGACAAATTCAGTGACTTGTTGGACTTAAAATGTAATTTTAAAATGTGTAATTGTGATGGCAAAGTTGAATTTTGAGCAGCCATCACGTCAGTCTTCAATGTCACATGATCCTTTATGATCCAATGCAGGGATACATTTTTCCCCAAGATTGGTGAAAAAAACGTTCAAAAGAACAGCATTTACGTATGTTTTGTAGGTCAGATAATGGCAAAAAAAGGTTAATAACAGCAAAATTATTTTAATATATCATACATTCACACACAAAGGGGAAAATCATTCATCTATGCTAGAGACAGACCAATATATCAGCCGGGCAAATTAATATGCAGTTTGAGATGATAGGAAGTGACCAATAAAATTTACATGCAGTTTTGTTTTTTTGTTTCTTTTTATGCAATGTCAGAACCAAAGGCTGCACGGGCCTCAAATGTAGGTCCTAACCTAGCCCTTGTCTGACAGCTTATCAGAATTCTCGGCCTGAGATTATTATTATTATTCTCTCGCTCTCTCTCCCCAATTACACAGCTACTGTTGCAGCCATTAAAATAGTTCAGTTTTGTTTTTAAGGGCAACGTGGTTATATTTCTTTTCGTTTCTTTGTTAATTTAGAAAAATGTTTGAAGGGTTTCAGGTTTTTTTTTATTTTTTTAAAGTGACGACCAAGCGGCCAGCAGCAGACAATGAGTTGATCACATGTTTGATCAATTTAGCCTTCTCAAATCAAGAATTGCCTAAAATAAAAAGATATAAAACACGTAGCGCATATCACAGTGTTAGTTTACACGTTTGACCTAGATAAATGTGCGCTGTTAAGAGCAAAACCAAGCGATTATGTCAAATCTGTTTTCATGTCCCTTTAATCTCACACGCTTGCACCAGAAACATGAGCCAGTCACCTGTCTCTCTGGGTAAACATGGGCGGCACCAGCCATCATCCAGTGCAGGGTAGTTTCAGTGTTTAGTACAGGTCGCTTGACTCAAGCTCCACTTCCCTGTGTTCACCTCCGACCAGGAAACACCCCCTATAATCATTTACAGCCTCCAGACCTAATGCTTTACTGTTCTGCTTGTGTTTTTCAGGCTTATAAACACATACACATAAACAACACTTTGCCACAGCGGGGTGTATCTGTTCCTGTTCATACTCTATGGCTGCTTTTCAGTTGTCAAATTTTTTTTAATGGTCAGTTATTTGGAAAATATTCATATTGTTTATTTAGATTTGGATAAAAGCATCTGCTAAATGCATAAATGTACATGTAAACTAGCTTCATTGTTTTTCTCATGTTATAGATTTGGGTAGTGGTTTTTGGGGCCAAATTCACAAAACATTCTTAAGAATAAATTTCTCAAACAAGAATTGGGTGCGCTAAAAAAGAACGAGTTCTCAGGTGCGTAGAGCAAAAAGGGAGAAAGTTTTAGTCCAACAAGTCGCTGAATTTGTCCGCACACTGAAAGAAATTTCCAATCAGACCAAAAAAGGTCTCTCAAAAATGTAGTTTTTATTATCCATATGCAAAAGTGAAAAAAGTGACAAAAGTGCAGTGTATTAAAAACAGACCAAAGAGCAGACGTTTGAGCCCATGCTTTCTTCAGTGCTCATGATGATATGGATAATAAAAACTACATTTTTGAGAGACCTATTTTGGTCTGATTGGAAAAAATTTTCAGTGTGCGGACAAATTCAGTGACTTGTTGGACTTAAAATGTAATTTTAAAATGTGTAATTGTGATGGCAAAGTTGAATTTTGAGCAGCCATCACGTCAGTCTTCAATGTCACATGATCCTTTATGATCCAATGCAGGGATACATTTTTCCCCAAGATTGGTGAAAAAAACGTTCAAAAGAACAGCATTTACGTATGTTTTGTAGGTCAGATAATGGCAAAAAAAGGTTAATAACAGCAAAATTATTTTAATATATCATACATTCACACACAAAGGGGAAAATCATTCATCTATGCTAGAGACAGACCAATATATCAGCCGGGCAAATTAATATGCAGTTTGAGATGATAGGAAGTGACCAATAAAATTTACATGCAGTTTTGTTTTTTTGTTTCTTTTTATGCAATGTCAGAACCAAAGGCTGCACGGGCCTCAAATGTAGGTCCTAACCTAGCCCTTGTCTGACAGCTTATCAGAATTCTCGGCCTGAGATTATTATTATTATTCTCTCGCTCTCTCTCCCCAATTACACAGCTACTGTTGCAGCCATTAAAATAGTTCAGTTTTGTTTTTAAGGGCAACGTGGTTATATTTCTTTTCGTTTCTTTGTTAATTTAGAAAAATGTTTGAAGGGTTTCAGGTTTTTTTTTATTTTTTTAAAGTGACGACCAAGCGGCCAGCAGCAGACAATGAGTTGATCACGTTTGATCAATTTAGCCTTCTCAAATCAAGAATTGCCTAAAATAAAAAGATATAAAACACATAGCGCATATCACAGTGTTAGTTTACACGTTTGACCTAGATAAATGTGCGCTGTTAGGCGCTTATCCAAGCGTTTGTGTGAAGAGTGGAAGCTAAAGCGCACTTTGCAGGACATGGAGGCTTCAGCGCGATCACATTTTTTTCTTACAGTGGAAACAACTTAAAATGCGCCATCATTTTTGCTCATACAGATAAGAGTAATACATCATTTGCAGCTTTAAATGGTCTACTTTTATTTGTGCTCACTCACAATATCAACAAAACATTGTGCTTTTGTAAAATAAAGGAAATAAAAGAATGTGCTTTCTGCTGTCTCGGTCTCCTTGAACATGAGCGCTTCACAAAAATGTACCAAAACTCAAAGACTTGCTTCAAAGACATGATAAATATACCTATAGAAAGCTTTAAATGACTACAAAACAAAATAATTTAAACAGAAAACAAAAACTTTCTCTCTAGAGTCGCGTCCAATGTGGAGATGGCGAGTCAGGATTGTCAACTTTATCTTTGCGACACTGATTCAGAAAACACTAGTTTATTAATAATTTAAATATCTCTGTACCCCCCCACCCCCACCCCCACCATGATAATTACTTTTGCGGTGCTTTGTGGAAAACTTTAGCCTATTGCGTGTGCTTGAATGCGGAATTGGTTATAGATAGCCGAAATATTAAAGGCTCATTATGGTTTAGTATTGGAGTAATTAATCTGTAGTCGGGGGCAGCCCTAGTTTTAATCCAGTCCTCCTCTTTTCTTCTGTAACTCTTCCAGCTGTGCTGGAGGCACACTCGCTGCTATGCTGCTGGCGGGGACACTAAACACTGTACGAGCCAGTCTTAACAGTCGCGGTAGCATGGTCTTTTTGTGGCAAAACCTTTTAAAAACATCCATTTAAAAAAATAATAAATATATAAAACTCAAAAGCACACTGCCTGTTATAATAGGCTTATACTGCAAAAAAAGAAATTGTACTTCATTTGCTATCATTGAATCATTTTGTATCAACATTAGATTTAATTTGAATAACCCCATAGTTAACCACTACTAAACAATTCCCATAATGCTGGTAGTGCTGTTACCTGGCAACTGATTGGGCCTCTGGGTAGCGTCCCAGCAGAGCCAGACACTCTGCTTTCAACACCTTGAACCTGTGACATGCAGATGCAGACTCTAATGCCCGATCCATACAGAACACCACCTACAGAGAGACACACACTCATATTCATCTGTTTATCAGTCTCTCAGCAGCTAGAAGAGTAATACAAACATGCTCACCATCCTGAAGTCTCGCTTCTCAAAGCTGATCTCAGCCAGTCGCTCAAATTCCAGGATGGACTCTGCGTTCTTCAGCTGCAAGAGACACAGGAGGTCAGAGTCCTTATGAATGGCACGTGGCATAAGTTCAGAGGCGAATATGGATGCCTGCAATGAGACATAACTGTGTATGGTATTTATAGTCAATGTACCTCCTGCTGCGCCTGACTGCTTTCTGGTTCCAGCTCTTGAACCTTCTGGAAGCAGCGGGTGGCAGCCATAGCATTGCCGAGCAGCAGGTGACACTTGCCCTCACGCATGTGGCCCTGTGGAACAGAACGATAATGATTAGTGACATACAATTTAAAACACCCAAAAGAATGTTGACTACATTTATGCATTTGGCAGATTCTTTTATCCAAAGCTACGTGCATTGCATTTAAGGTATGCATTTTATCAGTTCATGAATTCTAAACTTTGACCTGCAATATTTACTTCAAGTACCCTCTATATTTTAAGTTAACCCTGTAAGGCCTCACATATGAAATAATAGTTAGAAAATATTGAAATGGAATGGTTTACTTAATCTTTGGACAAAATATTAAAAAAAAATAAATTAAAAAAACAACACACAATTTTTTTTTTACATTTTAGACTCGAGTATCATTTTTGATACACCAAACTTTTATGGCTCATATAGTATGACAGTTAAAATATGGAGCTCATACTTGTTGAGGGAAAAAGCATCTTAATTTTATTCAGATGTCCAAACTGAGAAAAGAAAATCCACACTTTGGTGCAATTACTTATATTTATATGGCCAAAAATTCTTCTAGCTTGTAATGTAAATCAATGAGATCTTTATAACATTATAGTAGACTACTTGCATAAAATGCATATAAATATCAGTTGTAAGGTATAAAAACACAACGGTTCGGTACGTACCTCAATTTTGACGTCACGGTTCAGTATGGTTTTGGTACAGCAGGGGGAAAAAACTAAACATAAAATTGCTTTTATATATATTAAACGGTGGTTTACTGAACAAATTGCTCGCTTTAAATAAATTCAATTATAATTAAAATATTATTAGGGATAAAAATCTACCTCAGATTCTGCTCTAAATTATAGGGAGCCCTTTTACAAGGTTACAATTAACAACACAGCCCAAACTTAAATTTAATTACTATTTATTTTTAAATATAATAAACACTCAACTAAAAAAATGAATGCAAACATGTAAATTGCACATAATGCAGTTTTTAAATTAACTTCTAAATTTGTTGGTGGAATATAATCATTTACACAGTGGCTCTCATAACTTGTTTCATAACAGATTTATTTAAACATTAAAAAGACATCACTAACAGGTAAAGTAAAATATAATGAGTATATAGTCTAATATTTCACAAAATGCATTTATCTAGATTTCATTTCTCTAGCGAATAGCGAGCTGTGGACACTGATGACTTGCCTGAGGTAAACGAAATGCTACGTGACATTTAGTTTTTAAGCTGTTTTATTGACATCTTTCCACGGCTGAAACGCTGATTGAGCGATTACATGAGGTATGAGATGTTCATTCATGATTATTTTGCGTTAAAACTAGTAGTGAAGAGGAAGGGATGATCGCGCTCCGCGCTGCTGTTTGAACTGAGGCGCCTATACAGTGACCTGTCACGCCACATCAAAGAGCGTCAAAACGGCATTTATTGATTGAATTTCCTGAAAAAAAATGGACATAATTTGAAAGATGAGAATTTGTTTCTTATCAAAAGTAACAATATATAAAACTGGAAGTTTTCAATGAAGTTCCACTCGTGCAGTGCTCAAAACCATGCATTTGTTCGGTACATAAGCAGCAGGTGACACTTGCCCTCACGCATGTGGCCCTGTGGAACAGAACGATAATGATTAGTGACATACAATTTAAAACACCCAAAAGAATGTTGACTACATTTATGCATTTGGCAGATTCTTTTATCCAAAGCTACGTGCATTGCATTTAAGGTATGCATTTTATCAGTTCATGAATTCTAAACTTTGACCTGCAATATTTACTTCAAGTACCCTCTATATTTTAAGTTAACCCTGTAAGGCCTCACATATGAAATAATAGTTAGAAAATATTGAAATGGAATGGTTTACTTAATCTTTGGACAAAATATTAAAAAAAAATAAATTAAAAAAACAACACACAATTTTTTTTTTACATTTTAGACTCGAGTATCATTTTTGATACACCAAACTTTTATGGCTCATATAGTATGACAGTTAAAATATGGAGCTCATACTTGTTGAGGGAAAAAGCATCTTAATTTTATTCAGATGTCCAAACTGAGAAAAGAAAATCCACACTTTGGTGCAATTACTTATATTTATATGGCCAAAAATTCTTCTAGCTTGTAATGTAAATCAATGAGATCTTTATAACATTATAGTAGACTACTTGCATAAAATGCATATAAATATCAGTTGTAAGGTATAAAAACACAACGGTTCGGTACGTACCTCAATTTTGACGTCACGGTTCAGTATGGTTTTGGTACAGCAGGGGGAAAAAACTAAACATAAAATTGCTTTTATATATATTAAACGGTGGTTTACTGAACAAATTGCTCGCTTTAAATAAATTCAATTATAATTAAAATATTATTAGGGATAAAAATCTACCTCAGATTCTGCTCTAAATTATAGGGAGCCCTTTTACAAGGTTACAATTAACAACACAGCCCAAACTTAAATTTAATTACTATTTATTTTTAAATATAATAAATCAACACTCAAAAAAAAAAAAAAAAAAATTCCATGCAAACATGTAGATTGCACATAATGCAGTTTTTAAATTAACTTCTAAATTATTAAACTTCTATTTGTTGGTGGAATATAATCATTTACACAGTGGCTCTCATAACTTGTTTCATAACAGATTTATTTAAACATTAAAAAGACATCACTAACAGGTAAAGTAAAATATAATGAGTATATAGTCTAATATTTCACAAAATGCATTTATCTAGATTTCATTTCTCTAGCGAATAGCGAGCTGTGGACACTGATGACTTGCCTGAGGTAAACGAAATGCTACGTGACATTTAGTTTTTAAGCTGTTTTATTGACATCTTTCCACGGCTGAAACGCTGATTGAGCGATTACATGAGGTATGAGATGTTCATTCATGATTATTTTGCGTTAAAACTAGTAGTGAAGAGGAAGGGATGATCGCGCTCCGCGCTGCTGTTTGAACTGAGGCGCCTATACAGTGACCTGTCACGCCACATCAAAGAGCGTCAAAACGGCATTTATTGATTGAATTTCCTGAAAAAAAATGGACATAATTTGAAAGATGAGAATTTGTTTCTTATCAAAAGTAACAATATATAAAACTGGAAGTTTTCAATGAAGTTCCACTCGTGCAGTGCTCAAAACCATGCATTTGTTCGGTACATATGTGTACCAAACCGAAAGACCCGTACTGTTACACCCCTAATGAGTTGTCACACTATATTTCTCAATAACATGTATTAGTAAGATGGTATTTAAATGCTTAGTTTTATGATCAAAGCTCTGTAGTTTTTATTGTGGGGGTCAAAACATAATACAATGACAACAGAGAGATGTACAAATAAACATTCAACAAAAATGATTTTTCTAAAAAACAATGATTAGATAATCAAATGTTCACCTTGAAACATTAACAATATAAAAGTTATTTTATAAAAATCAGTGAAGGTTTCACAGCAAAAAGACATGTAACATGTCCTGAAGGGGAACGATTTTATGAAGATACTTTAATTTCCTAATAAAAGCGTAAAACTATCAATCAGATGACAGAAGGCATGCAACACATTGTATACAACAGGTTTTTCAACAGTTTTGATCATGTTGATAATTTAAAGAAATTTGCATAACATAGGATAAAATAGGGTTTTAAACAAAATGCATTTAATTCTTTTTAGTATTTTGATTGTTTTTAAAAAATTTTTTTTTTTTTTTAAAGATTTCATTAATTATTAACTTTCATCAACTCACAAACCCCCTGCAGTTCCCTCATGAACCCCAGTTTGGGATTCCTTGTACTAAAGCAATGCCTCTAACTGGAACCTTTTGAGAATTATCTTTAAAAAAATAAATAAATAAAAAATAAAAAACACCACCACCAACCCTTTACAGCTCACCTTCATGAAGGTGTCGTCTAGTCGCACAGCCTGCTGGGAGTCCTCCAGTGCCTCTCTGTAGCGACTCAGCATCATCAATGTGGCCGCACGGTTGCCATAGTAACTGGCATTTTTTGGGCACAGGTCTGTTAAAAGGACACAAACAAAACATGTAGACAGACACTTCAGTAAACAAAGGGGAATTTTACAAATCAGTGGTTATTTTTGTTACAACTGGAATGGAAATGGTCACCAAAACATTTCTAAAACAAGTGGTTGCTATGACAAAATTTATTCTGGTAATTATGTTACAGCCCTCAAGGAACTCATGTGGAAAAATGAGAATCTGTGCGCTTAAGAGTGAATATTGGGAATCAGTATGTGATTCAGAAGTGTGGAGGAACAAACCAGCACCATAAATGCAAAAGATGCCTACAGAAATCTACGCAGACAGAAACCACAGACAGCCAAGTACACTTTTAAGGGTTCTTACCGATAGCCTTGGTGTAGAAGTTGAATGCTTCAGCGTAGTCCTTCTTGACATAGTACACATTTCCCTGTTCTTTGAAGCCTTCAGCTTCCCTACAGATTCAACACAGAAACAAAAATAATAATATGCCTCCAGAAACAGAAGATCAGAACAGCTGTTAGAAAGCAGCTCCAAAACTGATCATCCTCTTTGTGCTTTGGGACACAGATATGGCACAAGTCCTCACAAAAACAGACGATACAGATCAGAAAACACTGCTGGCATATGTAAAATGTTAGATTAGGCTGCTAAACATAGATCCTCCACTACCGATGGTGTTTGTTTTAAATCAGTCAAACAGCACACATATGTATGGCATCAGGTGGGATAGAGTGCTTTCTGGGAAACAACGCAGGACCGTATACTTTCAAAGACGACTAGAGAATGAGTGTCTCATAACTTTACCCATCTATACTGAAGAGTAAAACATAAGAGTGGGGCTAAAGGAAACAGTTCTGCAACAGTGAAGGCAATCTGTAGAGCTGGTTAACTTTATTCCTCTGAGGATTCAGAGCACAGAGAAACTGTGGGTAACGAGGGCAATATAAGCCCTTTATATCGACATTTTATGACAACATGAAGACGTTTTTTTTTCGAAGCGATTTGAGGAAAAAAAATTGTGGCTTTTTTCTATACAACAATGACCATTACTAAAGCTATAAAACAAAAACAAAACGAAAAGCAAAAGCAAAAGCAAAAAGAAAGCCGTTTTTTTTTTCCGAAGCGATTTGAGGAAAAAAAATTGTGGCTTTTTTCTATACAACAATGACCATTACTAAAGCTATAAAACAAAAACAAAACGAAAAGCAAAAAGAAAGACAAAATGCAAAACTGAATTATTATGAGCAATTGCGAACATGAACAGAGAGAAGTCTGTTATTTACCAGAGGATCGAGTTATGAACTAGCCTTGTTCAGATAGTCAGTCCAAATGCAATTTTTGTGAATGGAAAATTTTGTTTTTCACATTTCTGGGTTTCTCAGCAGCGGAAGTCGTCATAGTTGGGTTAACTTAAAGAGCAGTGAATGGGAGAGTACAACAAATATATTTTTTTGCATTCCCATTTGCTCAAATAGCAAAAGAAAAACTCCACGATAGTGTTTTCATGACTTTCAATAAAAGGAAAAAAAAGACTGATAACGGCAGTCAGAAGAGAGAACGTTGTCAAATTTACCATCCCTCCCATAGACGCTGCATGAGAAACACCCTCGCATTAGCGTTAACTTTTTTTATAATTTGATGCAAAGGTGATATAATACAAAGTAGGCCTGGGCGATAAAACGGTATCGATATTTAATCGACGGTACACCTTCGATAACGATAGAAAAAAATGTTTGATATAGTGCACGATATAGGCACGTGCTATGAGTGACGCAGACAGCACACACAAACACGGGCTGAATTGAGTGCTGTGCCTGCCTGTGATGAGGAGATTGTGAATAAAGAATGAATATTAGTCGAATTTGAAAAACATTTGCATTTGAATGTTAGGTGTGCATCAGGGAGCGTCATCAGTGGGCGCGAGATGCGGTGATAATGATGTAAGTGAAGTTGCATTTTAATGTTTTGTTAGTCTAGTCCACGAGACACGCCGCTGCTGCGTTATTCATTCAAAATATTAGAGAAATATAGAAGCTCCATGCGGAGAAGATCTTGATTAGGTTAAAACCGAAACCAAGCCATTCACACAGAATGCAAATTCAGCGCATTTTTTAGACGGACAAATATGACTGCTGCACTCGCGTCTCACACAAGAGATG